GGCTCCTCTTTGCCTGCAGAGGATTGCCCACATATGTCTGTGGTGAAGGAAGGCCTGTCCCTTGCAGCTGAAATGCTGGTAAAGTAAATGCAATCAGGGCTCGTGGTAAGGTAAATGCTGTTTCACCCCGTCCCTAGATAACCCAGGGAACTCTCTGCCAAAGGATGTCAAGACCGGTTACTTGAGCAGGGTTTTGGGAGCTGGATTGCGAGTTAAATGGGTCATGAGACCTTCCACTGTTATGTTAGGCAGGATATTGTGGAGCTAATGCATCTACTTCTCTTAGCAGTGTGTCCCCTGCCCCTCTTCCTTTTGTATAAAATCTTTGCTTTCTGCCAGTCCGTTCCCAGCAGCGGGTGAAGTTTATTTCTTTAGCGTATGCAGTTTCGGCATATTGTTTCAGCCATCTTAAGGAGATGTCATCGCCAGCGGGAAGAGCCCGAAGGCCACCAGGTAGCATTGTAAATGGGCACGAGTCAGGTGAAGTAGGTTGTTGCGATGAGGGGGTGTCAGGGCCAGAGACCCCGCACGGCACAAGCGAGGGCAAAGGCTGCCGAGCACTTCTTGGCTTGCACGCTAACACACCTCCGATGGCTCTGGCTGTTCAGCTGCCAACCCAGATACTCTGTTCAGGTGTTCGAGGGCGGCCCACGTGGGATGGTCTCCTTGAAGGGGCAGATGCTTGTAGCAAACCTGAGAGAGGAGACGAGCCTGCCACATCCCACACTGACGTTTCTGGACCCCTTGGGAAGTGCCACCTCTTGGCTTTCGCTCCCGGTTTGACTGCACAAATAGAGCAGAGCGATGTTTCTGGTGCAAATAACCCAGCCCCCAGCAGAATGGATTTAACACGACGGACTCCTGTTCACAGTCCCCGGGCTTGTCGTGTGAATCGTGTCGGCACACCTAACAAAGCTAGCGCACCCTGCGGCACCCTTGCAAGGCTCCCAGGGCACCCTGGTTGAGACTCGCTGATCTACAGCGCACCAAAACTGAACTGCAGGAGCTGGGCAAACATGGCAGTGAACAACCAAGCAGCTGGGAGGATCCTGGACTAGTGGGACAGGCTCGTTTACAGCCCAAACACGTGGTTGAGGTGTAACCCGCCTGGCTCCATGGAAGGCAGAGGGTGAAGTGAGCTCGGGCTCACCAAGGCATAGGCGTCTCCCATTTACTTAGTCCACAAGGTGCATCTCTGCCCAGGGGCAGATGCAGGGGGCATGCACTGGTGCACTTGCACCCCCTCCCTTTGATTCCTGCTCCATTCGGAGATTAAAACTGTCATATTGAATGAAATAGTTTGAATGTTTGTAAAGGTTGCCCATTAGCCAGTTTCAGGAAGAAGATAGGATTTATCTCCTTATCTAAGTCATTGTTTTGGGCACTACGTGCAAAATGTCCTGACTTCGTTTAAAGTCTTAATTTAAATGTTATCTTTAGAAGTCTTTTACAAAGAGAGCAAATATCCTGAGTTCCGAGACATCAAACCCTAGGGCCTTTTGGAAAGATTGGTAAGAAAAGGGCATTTGCAGTGATATGGAAGTCTCCCCAAGAGTCATTTAAAATGCTCAACAAAGGCAAAAGAATCTGTTGAGTAAGATCCGAGCCCAAATTTGGGGGTAATGACAGGTTGAGTAGGAGGAGCCCACTGACGGCAGCTCGCTCAATAAAAACTGTAACCTACTGTCCCAATTTGGAGGTGACTTCACTTGCAGAACAACGAAGGAAGAATCGCAAGTGTAGGCCGGAACAGACTGATCACCTGATCCACCCTCTCCGTGGACACGAATCTCTTAGTTCACGCTGAAGCTGCAGAGCGCCCGAAAGGGACTGAAGGAAGGGGACTTAGTCCTATCCCTGCTGAGCCCAGCTCATTGAATCGTATTGCTGAGGCCAGCCTATTGAATTGTATTGCTGAGGCGAGCCCATTGAACCGTACTACTGAGGCCAACCCATTAAATCGTACTACTGAGGAAT